ACAGATCCATTAGCATTTGTAGCTACCTCCTTCCCTTCCTCCCTCCCAGGGGGCTGGCAGTCCTTCCGGCCCTCTGTCTCTCCCTGTGCTTCTGCCCTTCAGGTCTACTCCACAGTCAGACTCGGGAAATAAAAAATGGAACTAAAATCTGTCAGTTCTGCTTTTCATTGGCAACTTTTTTTTTTTTTTTAAGAGATGTGGTCTCTGTCACCCAGACTGGAGTAAAGTGGCAGGATCATAGTTCACTGCAGCCTTGAACTCCTGGGCTCAAGCGATCCTCCCACCTTTGCCTTCTAAGTAGCTGGGACTACAGTAGCATACTACCACGCCTGGCTAATTTTTCTTATTTTTTTTCCAAGAGAGGAAGGTCTTGCTATGTTGCCCAGGTTGGTCTCAAACTCCTGGCTAGTCTCAATCCTCCTGCCTCAGCCTCTTGAGTTACTGGGATTACAGGTGCCAGGCATTGTACCCCACTTCAATGGCAACTTTAACAAAAGCTTTTATAAGGGAGGAAGTTGAAACTGACTCAAATAAGGTCTATCTATGGACTTAATTTATCCATTGTGTTCTGGCCTGCCATTAACACGTAAAGTGAGTGAGAACAATGTAACTGAGATAGTACCTCTCATACTGAATATTTTTTCATAGGCAACTAAGTAGCCAAGGTAACCAAACCTGTCTGGTCTTCCTTGGCAAGAATTGGACTTTGTCTGATGATAAAAGACCAAGCCATTCATTCAGCAAACACCGAGCACCATCTACTGTGCACTGTATATTGTGCTAGGTTCTGAAAAGAGAGCAATGAATACAACGTGGCCCCTGCCCTCAAGGAGCTCATGGTCTAGTGGGACAGAGAGACAAGGAAGCAAACAACTATAATTCAGAGTGTTAGGTGAACTCGTACCAGGTACAGGAGTAACATACAATGGTGACCGATTAACTTGTGAGACTGGTTGGTAGGAATGTCAGATAAGAAAATGGTTTTTTTGAGGAAAGAGCCAGATCATATTTTACTTAAAAAAAAAAAAGCAGCAATATGAAAGAAAAGTGCTTTGGGTAATGGGGGAAATGTAATCTATAGATTTCTCACCTTCCTTACGGAGCTCACCTTCAGCTATCCTAGTGATTTTAGATTTGGTCTATAATCAAGAAAAACAAGAAAAAATGTTTTACTCTAGACAGTTATTAGCAGTACGACCTTATTTACTGTCTGTCTGTAGAAAAATGGCATTGAGAATGTTTTGGGGAGCTTTTGCATCTAGACAAAGCGTCTGTGCAGCACGTCTCTTTCATAGGCAGTAGGTATTTTAGAGCAATGTTTCAAAGGAACTTCGAATTTTAGAAGTAAAGTTGTTTTGGGGGAAAAGTTTATAAAATTCCAATTCCAGCTTTGCAGCTATCTCTATTCTTAAATCTGAACAAATATATAAAAGGGAGTAGCAAAAAGGACAGAGGTCTCAGAGTTAAGGTGGCCGTCTTCCTTGATCAGTCATTCAACACACATTTACTAAGGGCTCGCCTACTCTGTACTAGGCTCTAGGCGCTAGATGCGTGTCCGGGGGGCCAACAGGACACATGTGGTTCTTGCCCTCCTGAAGCTTACAGTCTAGTAGGGCACGCAAACACTAGGCCAATGTACGTAGAAATAAGTGCACAATTACAAACTGCGATCAACTGTCTTGAATAAATAGGAGGGTGCCATGAGAGAGATTAACAGGGAGTCTAATTCGGTTTCGGGAGCAGTCAGGGAAGATCTTGCTGGGGAAGTGACTTTTAAGCTGACTCCCTAAGGATGAATCAGATTTGTCTGGTGAAGAAGGTGGGGAGAGGGGTGGATAAGCTTTCTAGACAGAGATCTGAAACCTATGCTTTGAAAAGAAAAAACAAAAGTACAAACCATATACCCCTCCCCCGAAGAGTTCCCTCTTTGTAATTTATTTTCCATTTTCGGATTTCAGTTCATGTTAATTTAACAAAAATGTGATTTTGTCTGTCACCTACACTCCCTCAACTCTTCCCCACCTCCCCTCCCAGGCCCTGCAGCCAAGCATTCAAAATGCAAGGAGGCTGTGTCGGTACATACGGATCTACCTTCCACACTTTTTGTGAAATAAGGGTCATAATTTCACTTACCATCTCATACTGTTATGGTAAGATTAGATAAATGAAAGTCATTTAGAACAGTGTCTGGGGAAAGTGTAAGGACACGATAAATGTCAACTTACTATTTCAGTTTTAGTCGTGTACTATCATTTATTTACTGAGTTTCCTATTGATGGGCCATTATGTTGTTTCCAGTCTTTGCTATTACTAACCATTCTGCAGTCTCTAAGATTTGACTGAGCAGGATGACGGCACCATATGTAATTGTGTTGGCTCAAGCCTGCAGTTAAAGGCAAGCCAGGTGGCTGTGTTTCTACTCTGGTTCTCCTAAGGTTTACCTCTCACAGCAAAGCCAGCCAGCTGCTTTGTACTTAGTTTTGTCACCCATGTCTGTGCTCAGAGATTTCCAAACATTGTCCTGTTAAGACTGTGACAGGCAACAGTTCCGGAGCACTCTTCCCTTAACACACCCACACGCCCACACATACAGCTGTGCCTCTGAAAACACTGCCGCGTTCTCTCTCCTAGCCCTCCCAGTTGCATAGCTTCCTTTATTAATTCTCCTCACTGGATTTCTGGAGTAGGAGTTAGAATGCCTAGGTTCAAGTTCTAGCTCAATACTATTAATAATTAGTTGTGTGACTTTGGATAAATCACTGACCCCTGGTGTCCTGAGGATCACTGGGCAAAACAAGTATAAAAGTGTAAATAGCGGGTTGAGAGATTCTATCCTTTCCTGTCTCCAGTCCAATCAGTGCCTTGTACTATTCGGGTTCTGCCATTTCCTTTTTTTTTTTTTTTTTGAGATGGTCTCCTTCTGTTGCCTAGGCTAAAGTGCAATGGCATTATCATAGCTCATTGCAGCGTCGAACTCCTGGGCTCAAGGGATCCTCCTGCGCCAGCCTCCTGAGTAGCTGGCACTATAGGCCTTGCGCCACCATGCCCAGCTAACTTTTCTATTTTTTGTAGAGACAGGGTCCTACCATGTTGCTCAGGGTGGTCTCGAACTCCTGGGCTCAAGTGATCCTTCCTACCTCAGCCTCCCAAGTAGCTGGGACTGCCAGTGTTAGCCAGTGGGCCAGGCTAAAAATTTCTGTATTTCTTAGAGATCAATATTAATCCATATCCTTACATATGAAAAAGACCACTGTCTTGTTCATTATCATAACTCAGCTGCATAGCCCAGTGCCTGGCATGTAAATATATTTGTCAAATAAATAGACTGTCTTTCAGAGGAGTGTCTGGTTGTAATTCTGAAACTGTAACACCCATATGGGGTGATGAACTCAAGCTAGAGTCAGCCTTATTGGTGCAAAGGAGAAAATAACCTACTTGAGATATGGACTCAAACACCAAGGGTATTTTCTCTGATTCTCACCAAGGGCAGCCTGAAGTTCCTGTTGCATTGATGCAGAAATGAGGTGAGGTCAGAGGTTGCTTTTAAAATCCTAGAAAAAGGCCAGGAGTGGTGGCTCACACTTATAATCCTGGCACTTTGGGAGACCTAGCTGGGAGGATTG